GGAACACAAAAGTTATATTCCGAACAAGCGTTATTTGGCCTACCAAGTATGGGTCGGCCAACTGTCTCTCCTGCAATACCGTGTTATAACTTTGATGTGTAGGTTTCCCGAGGTTTTGCTTGGACACGTATAAGCTGGACCAGGTAACCTACTACTTAATAACAATAAGGAAATATTACACGTTTGAAGAAATAATTTCCTGTTGCGTCCTGATAAGTTTCTTCTTGACTGGGTGAGGTATCCCACAGTAAAATTTTTGGTCCGCCTAAACTAATCCCAACAGGAAATTGTCTCACGTTGGGAGCTGGCTTATAATGGGCCCGCTGTAGTAATCCTTTGCTGTTTCAGCGCACTGTACACAACACTATGACGGCAACCCGTGATTTTGACGTATTCCCGTGACCTCACCAATTAGAATTCGGAAACAAATTGAAATCCGGGTACAGAAGAAAACTTTAAAATCAAAATCAACAAATTATATCAAAATATCACTGTTTTTTCCATTTTTCCTAGAAATTTCGTCGGTCCTGACAGGGTTCGATAGTCCCAGTTACCAACGGATCGATAAAGCGAAAAACTTAAGACACTATCTCGATCGCGCGACCGGATGGTTCCCACACATGTCATGTCCTCTGTTTGAGGTGGAAATTCAAACACATCAAAACAAAATTTAGCAACTGGGTAGAAAAATCTACCTTTCAAATCTCACAGGTGCAATACAGAAGGAACAGAATATCTGTACCCAAAAAGTTCCATCTTCTGTTCCACGAATCAGATATTTAACCTGCTTTCTCGGTACGGATACCTGAGTGAATTGTGGGTCTAATAAACCATACAGTCGTTCGGAAGGTTGACAAGGCGGTTCCAATAAGTTAGTAGTAAAAATATTTCAAAACACAATAAGAAATACTGAACTGCAGAAATTAACCTCACAAAACTCTCAGGGGACAAAATCTCGGGGATCACTTAGGAAGAATCGTTATGTTGAGGCATAGCTCGGTGTTAACCATCCATCACTCCGTGAAACAAAATTACAGCACTGTTAATCCAGAACCTGCAATGCACATCTTAGAAAGGCTCCTTACATACAATAGCACTGTATCGATTTTTATGTTGTGATCCCTTCTGGAATATGCAAGTTACGAGGGCGTGGACCAGTAGTAGGTTCGGAGGTTACCGAGTGGTCATACTGAAAGTGTGGTTAGTTTTTGTAGTCCTTCCGTCCGGTAGGTTTTTTCTTTGTTCATTCACTGACAAACAACTTCCCAACTTTGACGGCGTTCGGTCGTTTTCCCAATCGGTTCGGACCGGTGATTCACACAGTGTGGTGTTCTATCGACGATAGCAGAGTCAAATGTCACTGCCCATCTTTCATGACCGATTTGAAAAAAAGTTAGACGAATAACATTTCCTTTTACATATATTTTCTTTTCCAATTCTCAACAATGTGTCGTTCATTCATCTATTCCACCAAACAATGCATCACAGGCATTCCGGTCCTATGACGGGCAGATCGGACAAGTGAACATGCCAGCTGCGGCCTTGTCATGCTGCGAATATGCGCGTCGCAGACCGCCACCGCTGATGTACATGAAACAGTTCGATCGGATTAGCAAACGTCAGCTCGCTCTGGTTGAAAGTTACCGAGTCGCCCAGGCTGAACATTGCAAATTGGGTCGAAGCAGTATGGCCTTATTGCTCGAGGCCAACAAAGCGTTCGCAGCGGGCTTGGGAAGTCTGGAACCGGAGAGTTGGCAGACCGGATTAGAAGACTGTGGAGACTTTTACATGCATCGGTGGAAAGAAGTAAGTTGAACGTTGTCACTAACCACCAAAGTGGGGGATCACACTAGGTTAAAAGTCGCCATATTCAAAGTTTTAGCCGATATGTCACCGACGTGCTCATATAACTGAACAGAAAAGCAGAACTTAGCGTCTAACCGATCAATTTAAGTAAAGGGCCTTCCTGGTAGTTGAATCCTCGTGAAGCATTCAGATAACTCAAACAGTTAGAGCGCGAA